TACGCGGTATTTGGTTTCGCGACGAACCGTTGACTTAATACGTTATACGGAATAGTTTGGGGAAACAAATATGGTCGATTTACAACGCTAAATATTCCGAAATGTGAACATTTTACACTCCGCGTGTGTCTGTTGCGGTTTCTGGTGATTTCTGCCGCGAGACGGCTAGGAAATGTACAAAGTTTTAAAACATACATGTTTCGCTTTTGAGCTTTTTGCCATGAACGCGACCCCGGCTGGGCGGGTTACCCCACCTTGACACGTTTACATGGGAAATTGTCACCCCGGCTGATAGGGTTACCCTACCTGCCAGACCGGGCAACCCGCCTAGGCGGGTCACCCCACCTATCATGTAAACGTAATCAAAATAAAACAAGAAATTATATGGGCAGGCGGGTTACCTCACCTACCTGGGGTCCCCCACCTCCATGTAAACAGGCCCTTAGTAGGAGGATGTAAAAATAGGTGCTGTCAAATTTTCAAATTCTCTGTACCGCGTTACCCATCAAATGTCGCTTTCCGATGCAGAGGTGATTTTTGTGTTGTGCATCTGAAGTAAAATGTATATGCCTTAAGCAATGACCTTCGACCAACTTAATTCATTCCTTTCAATTTTTTTTCTTTTTTGTCAAACAAGGTCAACTTTTTCCAAATATTCCAGGTGTTAGTTTTAAACCGATGTAAGTTTAAGGAGTTTGTATTTTTGATAATGCGATACCTTATTGCGGGCTGAAACTTTGCTTGTGAACTGTAAGTTTTGGGATGTTTCCAAATATTCCAGGTGTTAGTTTTGCACCGATGTAAGTTTAAGGAGTTTGTATTTTTGATAATGCGATACCTTATTGCGGGCTGAAACTTTGCTTGTGAACTGTAAGTTTTGGGATGTTTATCATTTGGCTTAAAACTCGGGAATTTTGGTTTGAAGTCATATGATGAGATAATTTTGGGGAAATACTGTTCGGAAATTTTTTAGTACCTTCCGAGGTACTCTTCTATTTTCGTTCAGAACAGAATAACGGAAAATTTCTATCATTTGAATAACTCCTCCATTTCCAGGCTTTTTCTTAAAAATGGTAAGAACCCTCTGTGTCTAAGTTCTATTAACAACTGACCCGATGAGTGATTTGACAATTATTGGACCGAACTCAGCTGTCTATTGGGTAATTTTCCGACATATCAGATGAAAAGTCTGAGAAATCTAATTGTATTCTCGAACTACTTACATTTCGAACGTCTTCCATACAGCAATATGCTTATGTACCTGAGTGGGCCAAGCGGATATTGACGAAATCTGCCATGGAAAGATCTGAGAATGAACTGAGTCAACTCCACTCCATGCTCAAGGGCCTCACATCTTATGACAAGTTCACCTACCGCATCCAACTCGCCATGTGCAGGGCTATGACATACCTTAAGTAAGTCAGAAGACCTCGACAAGTGATCTTGAATACTATTGACACTTTTTGACCCATTTTTACTTCACTTTAAAAAAGAAAAGTTTCCACACGAATTGTCACCAGAGGAATCAAAGAACACACATGGTAGAGTACTTGTAACCAGAAAAAAATTAAAAACCTAAAGTCCAGTGATAGAGCACCATTCTATTACTATGTGCCTTAATGTTACGGAAACAGTGCTTAACTCTTATGGTTGTGAACATGTTGTCACGAGGCTTCCTTAAATTTACCTTTGGTTTTGAATTTCAATATTGTTCAGAATGTTGCAGCAACTGTTAAAATTAATTTGATAAGTGGGAGGAGAGAATTGAGAAAATGCGGAGAATTATTTAAAAAAACTGCTTTCATTGCACCGTTTAACGGCAATCGATATTTTGTTTTTCAGAGTGGAGCACCCCCGGGTAGTGTTGCGCAAAGGACATGTTGGTGTCTGTTTTTACTTCATCTTTTCCGGTTCCGTGTTTGTCAACGTCGAGGAGCTGCTCACGAAGACTGGTCACGTGATGTGGCATACAGCAATTACGTTGCATCGAGGAGACAGCTTTGGGGTAGACAGACAACAGTCACCATGTGGCGCTAAATGTGCCCAAATATACTTTGGCGAACAGTCTCTGTTCCTAGAAGCGAACTGAGTCTGGTCGGTGATAGTCTTCCTTCAAAATTTGAGTCCTAACACATTTTGCGCCACATGGAATCTGTTACGCTTAAATGTTTTGAATGACTTATTGCCAAAATTTCACTTTTAAGTGTGCGTAGGGCCTCCTTTATCAACAACGTAAACAACCACAACAACAAGAAACAAATAGGGAGGTGGAGAATGAATACTGGACTTGGCTTGGGTTAGCATTCTTTCGATGAACGATTCCGTCACCGTATTCAGGGGCGGATACAGGACATTTTCTAAGGGTTGATTTAGCTGATGATTGATGTAAACAATTTTTATAAGTGAACAACGAAGAAGTAGGCTGATGACAAGGTAAATAACATAATATGAACTGCTGAGAATGCAGAGCAACCAATACAGCAAATTTTTTTTAACCGTGAAGTAATATCATAGACCCGTAAGTTATCTGGCGAGATGGGGTGCGTACCTCTTGCACCCATCCGCAAGATCCGCTCCTTATAGTCACGTACCATATTTTACCTTCTTACCAAGCTTTTCAAAACATATTTCACAGGCGATTTGATTTAACTTATGTTCAGTCTTCTACTTCATTGCCGCAATACGAATTTACAAATGTGCATGGTTTTGATGTCTCTGTCAGGATCTTCTCTCCTTTATTATCAAACTACGAGTATACCCGGGATTCTACTTAGTGTGATTGGAATGAGGCCATTTAAAACTTGACTAAAGGGGACCTGCTTGTGGCACTTTTTCTAATTAATTTGTTGTACATCCAATCCTTATGCCTAGCTTTATGATTGTGCTGCAAATTACGTCTACCACGTGATACATATGTGTTGCGTGTTTCACTTGTTCATGGTCCGAGTTCACTCAGCTCGAAAAACGGCTTGCACTCTTCCAATTTTGCTTCATCTTGCAGGAACTTGCTCTTCTAAGAAACATCAAAAGAACTGCATCAGTGGTGGTGAGAGAAGACACGGAACTCCTGATGGTAGAAAAAAATGTGTTCTCTAAAACATGCCCCAGAATCTACGACAAAGAACTCTTTGACAAGATTAAATTTTGCAAGTATGTGTAACGTCAAACAGAGAAAAACTCATTGTAACTTGTTAATGACATCTTTGGGCTCCCTGATAAATTATTTCATTACTTCTCATCAGTAACTCATACTGACTCTTAAAAACCTGATTTAACTGACGAAGAACTTGTTGCATCTTATAAGCTTGTTACTTACACAATACTGATTTATGACATCCTGTATAAAGTACCAATCATATGCTTCGTCGATCTATATTCTAAGCCTATGCTTTTTATCTAAAACGACTTAATAACCAAGAGTGAGGTCGTTACGGGAAATCACAAACTGAGGCTATTGTTCGGTCAATACGGCTAAGTCAAGGTTTGATTTTGAGATTTGAGGTTTGAAAAAAGAACTCTGTCAATGTCCAACCAATTTGACCTAGCCCTTGGTTTTTACGCATGTATGGGCTATATAAAGTCTAACACAGATGGCGAGAGCAACTGAAAATTTCCTTTCCAAAATTCCACTCTACAAAAAAAAACTGATATTTTACTTGGACGATTGATAAAATGACACACATACATATGAAATGAAAGGTCACGCCGTAAGTGTTCAATTTTATTGCGTGGATAACCGGAAAGCCACAGCTTGTTACCTGCTTTAAAGAAACAAGATTTCCATTTCCTTTGCTTCCAGGAAATGATAGCCATGAATCAAAACGCCATTTCACTCACGAATTCTCCTGAATCTTATCTGTTGTAATAAACTGTGAAGTGTCTGTAGTCAAAATAGCATGATTTCAACAAGTTAGAGTTTGTGATGACTCTGTTCACTATCCGCGATTAAAGTTTAAATTTAAAGTTATTAGCCAAATTAAGCATATTTGGCACTTACTTTCAATTTTGACTAGGACTCAGTGAACGCTTTGAGTTAAGCATAAGTTGTGAAATTTATCATGTAAAGCAAAGCATTATAGTGTCAGGGAATGATCTTAAATACGATTGAACTTATTTTCGCGGCTGTTTTCCGATCTCGCTGCATTTTATATTCGCCACAATTCTTAGAAGTAAGTCAGTTATTATGGGGAAAACTAACCTTTATTTCAATTGCAAGACTTTTAAAGACACCAGAGCTATTTTCAAACTTTCGTGCAATAGTCCACTACTGTGGTTTCAGACTAGTGTTCTCACCACAAATTTTGCGTCCGATCACACTGAAGTAACCAGTTTCGCCTTCATTTTGCATTTCACGATTGTTCTTTATAAAATACTCGGATTCTTGGTGTCACTTTATTTGCTGTCGTCACTTTTCGCTTTTTTTAAGGTTTTACCGTAGAGGCGCGGTGACCTCATGGTTATTGCGCTCGACTCCGGGTCGAGTGTCCTGGGTTCGAGCCCTAGCCGGGGTCATTGTGTTGTGTTCCTAGGCAAGACACTTTACTCTCACATTGCTTCTCTTCACTCAGGTGTACAAATAGGTACCGGCAAATATGCTGGGGGTAACCCTGCGATGGATTAGCATCCCATCCAGGGGGAGTAGCAATACTCCTAGTCGCTTCATGCTAAGGAAACCGGAGTTAAGCTCCTGATAACAAGACTAATTCAACACCTATAGGTCTGAGTCTGCGCTTAACTTCATATCAGTTGTATAAAAGCAATAGACTACATTTTCTCGGGTTTTGTAAGAGCAATTGCTGCACTTTCCATCAGTTTACCGGCGTAATAACCCGCCTGGGACTTGACCCACTTGACTGAGTACATAGTCATTACTCTTCACAACATTCAAATGGTTAAGAGAAGCAACGTCAGAACATGCTACAGTGATAAAAAGTGAGAGGATTTTTTTTTCCAAATTTCTTTTCAGAGGTTTATCTTTTTTCAGACATTGGGCAGAGGAGGCACTAAGAAACGTTTGTTTTGAGGCACAAATCCAGGAGGTAGGCAAAACACTTTTGGTACTATTGTGTATAATGACTGTAAGAATAAGTTTCTAGAAATTTCTAGAATGCCTAGTCATGCTGATACACATACCGTGGAAATCTATCGAACATACTCTTAGGTCACGTAGTAATAATGTAATTCTACCAAAATGCTTATGTTTTTAGCTTCCGGAATGTTCTAGAATGCTTTATAAATGCATGTAAGGACTCAGTCGTGTGATAGTAGGTGGTTGTTGTTGTTGTCGGGAGTGACCGACTGTCTGGAAAGCTATACCGAGAGGGTAGAAGTACTGTGTTCGTTTCAAGAAAATTTGAAGATAACTGTGAATTTGTGTCAGTGGTGACCTTAGTTATAGTTTGTAGTGGGCTTAAGTAAGTTTATTAAGGATAATAACGGTACAGCTGTTAGGAATCGCTCCTTAATAAGAATATTAAACATTGTTTAACAAAGTAGTAGGATTTTTGAGAGTATAGCCTCCTTTTCATTGGTTAAATTATACCGTAACAGTACATAACAGATAAAAGAAATCTCTCTCACCTAACCGTCTTTTACTTTCAGTGGAAATCGAATAAGATAATCGTGAAAGACAGCAGTAAAGAGTTGGAATGGATTTACCTCTGTATGCAGGTAATTTTCTATCGTATCAGTCAGACAAAACCAATCAGTCAGTCGCTTATTCAATTTGCAAGCAGACAGTTTTTGAGCTAGACAGCTGGCATTAGAGCGAGCGAGCTAATCGTCAGTTACTCGGTCACTAAGTCGCTGAATTATTCAGCTTCCTACATTCCTTCATTCAGTCAGTCAGACACTTAGTGCGTCAGTCAATCAGTCTATTATTCAATCATTCACGATCAGTTAAGCAGTCTCTCAGTCGGTTAGCTACCCACTCAGTCAGTCGATGGAGTTTCAACTTATGGCTTGCGAGCAGGTTTTCATCAGCGCTGCAACACGAGTTTCTCAGCCCCGGGCGAATTGAGCGTACAAGAGGTCTATGAGGGATCCCGCACTCAAAATGAGAGCTGGTGACGCCAAAGTTCTCGAATACAGTGCCTTTGCCTATAATGGCACCATTATAATCGGTGAAAAATGACAGAGAACAGCGAGTTATCGACAATCAAATGCAAGTGTCGCTTCTGGTAAACCAAACTTTGAATCTGTGCCCGACTTCTAGAAAATAATTATTATCGAAGCAAAACATGTAGTCGATATACCAGACGATTGTTCTTTATCAACTATACCATGTTCTTACTGTGTGGCACCTGATCGGCCCATTGAAAGAATTTGCAGTGGCTCTTTCGACATTTTAGGTAAATCCTCCAATGATATTTCTCGAACTTGGATTCGCGCAACTTCAAATGTTTGTTGCAGAAGCATTTCAGATTATCACGATTGCATTTGTACCAATCTGGTATCTGGTCTTGGACATTTTGTAGGTACCGAGAAGCCTCTTGCAGACTTGAGAACAAGCAACAATCGCCATAAGGAAAGACCACAAACTCCCATCCCGTCTTGTAACGATGAATACATTGTTGTTCATAATCAGAAACATACAAACTGTTATTCTTGCAATCTCTTACACAATGGCCCTCGCTTTTATTACCAGGGCAAATGTTCAGTAATTAAAGCACTTGATCTGCGCGTTCCACCCAAGCCAACCCGTCTGAAGAGAGTAACGAACGATGACATTTATTTTCCTTCCGGCGTACTGAGAAGAAAGCGTAGAACCCAGTCTGATCCGTCCAAAATTTGGAGAAAAGAACTGAAAGAGAGTTTGAAAACACCATTTAGCTTTAATGAAAATGAAATGGTGGATGAAAATCAGGAGGATAATGAAAGGCAAGTAAATATTTTCTTAGTCCTGTAATCTATTTATTTTGTGCATCAGTATTTACAAATGAATTGGATACAGACGATACAGCTAATATGTCAGTGATCAAGGAAGCTCTAATTGTTTTATCAGCGAGACGTCCACTAAGTCAGAAATACAGTGAGTCATTCTTTCCGTCAGCCATTTCGTAATGGTAATAGGACTGAAGGGAATCCAGTTTGGTCTGTGATCATACGAGTTAAACAAAATCGGACGACGGCACAGCGGGAGTTCGATTTGTTTTTCACGAGTTTATAATCATAAAAATTACAATTTTCGAGAAAAGAGGAATAGCCAAGTTATGAAAGAAAGGGAAAATGTGCATCAAAAGACTGACAAAGGAGACGTTAATTGTTTAATTTTGTGATTGGTTGATATATAGTACAACTTTGAATGCGATTGGTTGATTTAAACTAACTTTGAATGTGATTGGCTCGTTGAACTGTCCGATAAAAAGCTGTCGAATAAAAACTTGACAACCCAGACAATTATTAAAATAGATAAAACCAAAATTTAATTCTACATTTTCTTACAACTCCTGACTGTCGACACTCTGCAGAACTTCCATGTCAGAATCTGAGTGGTCTGATTCAGAAGGTGAGATTGCAGGAGCTGAAAGGATTTTGGAGGTGATGGCCGTGCCATATAAGGATGCGCCTCACGCTAAGGGAGACACCGATTATATCGTCAATGAAGAAGATGAGGATGATAAAGCGGAAGTGGAAGCTGAAGTCCAACAACCTGTAGTCCAAACTGCCCCATCTGAGCTAGAAAGACGAGATAAGAGGGCATCGGAGAGTTTTTCTGAGCTGATAGAAACTGAATCAAAAGCAGGAAAACTGAATAAAGACGTGGTTTACTTAAATATAGCATCGTTAAAGAACGGCGACATCTTCGTAAGTAAAAGAAAACTAATTTTGTTATTTGTTCTTTCTGCGTAGTTCGGATTTATTTCAAGCACGCGCGAGCGATATTAATCGATTGTTTGGTAAGATATGCACGTCATGCAATGAACTATCAATTTAGATACCTTAGTTTTGCTACCTTTACTTTAGTTTTCAACATGGAGCGAAGTAACTTATGTTGGGAGCGAAGTTGCTTATTTGACGGAGCGATCAAACTTTTGGTTAGAGCAATCTAACTGGGAGCGATCTAACCATGGTGTGATCTAACTGTAATTCAGTCAGAACCAGACCGCATAGCTCGCAAATGGCTATTGCTTTGATTATTTTTTAACAAAAATGTTTCAAAATTGACTAAAGTAATCGCGTTGGGATGGAAAAAGAGAATCGCGACCTTGTTACCTCGTCAGAGGCTTACTATGAATGGCACTGGCAGTGAAATGTATGTTTGGCTTGTCAGACTGTTCAATCACTACCCTACCACAACCAGATTTATTTACCAAATTGAGAGGACTCATGGCTCAAGCAACGTAAATCATATATTTTGTTCATGGCTTGCTGAAAAAGCTGCACAATAATCTCCAGCCATATTTTGCTTTTTCTTTTAGGTTAGCTACTGTATCATTGATAAGTCATTAATAAGTCAAGATAAGTCAAGATAAGTCATTAATGACTTAATAAGTCATTCCTCAAGAGGTTCTAACCTTGCTCACGTATAAATTTCACGTCGTGAAATGCTCTGCAAAACCGCTTATGTCGTTTTCAATTAAAAATGGTTAATTGAAAAAGAAAGAGAATCATACTAATCATACTACAGGCACTTTGCGAAAACTATGTGCTTCGTCACCAATGTGGCTGCCAGAATTTAGATTTTTTAAAGAGAGGAGTCTTTTTAGTAAGACATTTTGGCTTAAAAAAATTAGCTCCTCGTTCGAAACAGCCAGAAACAAAGTCAGCTTGAGGCATTCCACGGCTTTCGGTTATCGATTACGTTTGACACCAATACAACGATGACATGTATTTGTGCTTCGATTACCACCAGATGGCCTGCATATAACGAGAGGTGGTCTGAATGAGTCCGATACGCGCCTTCCTGAGTTAAGCTGCACTTTAACTGCCTTTTGTGATAGGTCCGAATTCTACAACAACTTGGTCAAGCCCGTTTTATCCTAGATCTGGGTTTACATATCAAAGTCCTCCTTCCTCGTCGGGCTGTATTATTTGTAATCCTTGTGAACATTTCGGTGCGACTTAACAAGTACTTTGATATTTCAATTTTCATAATTTCTTCCTCTAAACCTTTACTATTACATCCAAGTTTTGGAAGTAGAATTTAGTTCGTGGTACGGTGATTCTGTTTGCAGGATGTCTCTGAGGTTCTCAGGCCGACGGGGCGAAGGCTGATGCTCGTCAGCAAAGGGGCGGTCATGTTAAGAATTAGAAGGGATGACTTTTTCCGCTACTCTTCCAAGACGACGTTAAGGGTGGCCAGAAAAATGGTGCAAGAGCTAGAGTGAGTATCAATAGTTTTGCGATGAAGTGACTGTATATAGAAATTGTTGGCTTGATGCTTTTATCCTCTCTTAAAGCCTGTACAAATTTCTCTGTTTGCTCTGTTGTTTTCCAAAAGTGCAGGAATGATACAAATAAGTTATTCGCCAGCCAAGTCAGCCAGGAGGTCCGTATTGAGAAAAACTGTGCCCTTTGTCCACTCAAGAAAAAGAACACGATATTTCCCAATGCTAACCGACCTAGGCTGGAGAATAACATTTTCATTTTTTTTTCTAAAACTCAACGAAATTCTTGCTAAAAGAACCCGAATGATTTAGGGCTGTAATTACGTCAAGATCCTCTCGAAACTGAACATTTTTTGAGCGAATAGATGGTACTGAAAACAGAGGTAATGCATTTTTAAAACATCTCTGTTTACGTGATGATAAAGGTGATTTACAAGTATCTGTCACGATCTGTCAACTAGAAAGCGCGATAGATAAAAAGCGCATATACAGTTTTAAAAAAAATCATCGGGAATGATTTGGCATACAAACTCAACTTCAATGACTGTCGCGACAATTTTAATACGGCTTTTTATCATATCCTCTGGTTTCTGTTGTGTAATTTACGTTATAAATGTCCAGATTTAAACTGGTAAGGTTTACAAAAGTGTATTTATAAAAGAGCTCAAAAATAACTGTTTTACGCCAAACAAATTGTTCAGGATAGTTCAGATATCAAATAAATGAACGTTCCATCGATTTATTCAGTTATGGAAAAACACCTTACGTTTTGACATTATGAGTTACTTTTTGTAAAAGACTAAAAATAATTGTCAACGGTTTTAAGGCCAGGCGTCAACCATTTAACTTTTTACACCGTAACATCAGAATGCATATTCTTCATCTTCATACTGTCCTTTATACGTTTCCAAAGAGGCTGACAAGGAGAATTTGTTTAACAATGAAGAGCTGCTTTAGTCGGTGATCATCTCCGCTATTCTTATGACTTTCATGTTTGTTTCAGGGATGATACTGTAAGGAGAAATTAGATGCTAGTCACTCTTAGGAGTTAAAGGGTTAATAGCACATCTGATACCACAAATTTATTTGAAAGAGAGAGAAAAGAGAGGACTGATGAGTTATTGATCGGCTTAAGGTCGTAAACGACGTATTCACTTATGAATACTGCCCAGCCGGCAAAACGGAATATATTTATGAGCAATGACAACGAAGCTAGGAACTCGGCGATTCACGAAAGGAAAATTCGGACCACGCTAAGAACCAATAAGACTGCAGGATTCTTTACCGTGCCCTCTGAGAAAAATATAATACCTCATTATCTGTTTTCAACACGAACTATTTTCTCTATGGTAACTGGTCAGAATAAAAGGTAAATTGCGAACTGCAGAAAATGTATAGATTTAGCCAAGCCTAGAAGTGGAGCTCCCGTTAGTCTATTTTCTATTAGACCTCCTAATGGGCTTTTGAAGAGGTTAGGCGAGGAAAATTAGGACTAACGCTCGAATCTTCGGATTTACAAACTCTCTATGATGGCCAATTTACATTATCAAGTCAGTTGATAAGGCCAAATTATCCTCACATCTATTAGCCTATGACAAGCCTCTGTGTAATGCCTTACCGTGTGTGTGCAGTAACTTCACTGGAATTCGGCATTCGTGTATGCGTTTTTCATCATCTTCTACCAGTGTTTCTTGGCGCACACGAATGAGATTTCCAATTAATGCACCCAATCCATTACCTTGTTCCTTTCACTTCTACTTCCATAAAGCCCATTTTTGTACCCACAATGCAATTGGCCGTGCATGCTAGAAGTAGCGCCTTTTGCATACGGTCACACTCTCCAACCCCTATCATTTTCTTTCAGCTTGATCTGTTACTGTAATCATGCGAGTGTTACAAAATCGGACGACCGTGAAGCGGGAGTCCGATTTTTTAATCACGACTATGTTTACGGACAGAATTGGACGACACGAAGTCCTGTTACAAATTAATCATAACCATTATAATTTCCGACAAAAAATACATCTAGAAAATAAATCTCCAGTGAAGACAATGTATAAAGTTAAAATTCCTCCAATTTGGAAATTCCCCAGTTTTTCATAGAATAAGTGGTTGTTGCTATGGTTCTTGTGATCGATTGCTTGATTGGTGGATTTAGCTGAGTGAACTCAGTACGATTGGCCGCTTTAACTGTCCGATTACACTGTGTGATTACAACTACACAAAATAATTAGTGAAAGATAAAACAGTTAGTGCTCCAATCATATTTAAGGAAATTCTTGTTCTGACTGATTAACAGCAATTTTTCAGTTTTTCGCTTCATTTCAGCTTCTACCTCATCGTTCAAGAATTTCCCTTGCGAATTTGTTTCATCTATTATTTCAGTTCAGCCGTTAGGGATAGGTTCTCATAAAAAGCATGATCAATTTTCGCAAATTTCAAAATAGCTTTCTTTAATATAGGAGAGATTAAATTATTTCTTTCCTACAGCAATGAAAATTGTGTTTCAATTCAGCAATAAACCAATATTTACGAAGAACCTGGGTCTTTGCATGAAATATTGCGGCTTTACATGCTAAGAAATGGCATTTCATCAAGCTCAACGCGGTTGTGAAAAATCCACTACAAATTTTTTTCAAGATAAAAACCTCACGTAATCACCATACAAGATCGTGTTTTGCACTTGGCCTCTGGAGTGCAGTCCGTGTTTCTTATTTTAGTCCCCGTTTTTACCCGGTTCCTTGCTCGTAGTCTACATTCTGTATTTATGTTTTACATTGGGATGAGGGCAAGAAAATTAATTCTCGTTTAATAATTGCCCGATAAGTAAAGAAACATTCCTTACCGACAAGAGTTAGTAATTCCAAACCCACGTATCTTTGAATCCATTCCCTCCTAAGTTAATCCGAAAGATCGAATAACTAAGAAAAAGCGCTCAGCGAATGCTGCCACAAATCTAGATTTACGAAGCCAAGGTTAAAACGAGACGAAATGTAAGGCGAGGGATATCAAAGATGAAATCTCTTCTGGTACCCAATTTTAATTGACAAAGAGCAGTATAACTTTTAAAACCAAAAATTTGTTCCTACATTGTTTTTCCTGGACTAGGGAATTTTTCTTACCAAAGCAAAAAAAGAATAAGTCATCCGGCACAAGAATTACGCCACCTATTATACATAGTGACTAATACGAAGTCTGACTTAAATTTCATCTCCATTTCAGTTATCCTTCTGAGGACATTATCTATCGCTCTTACAACGAACGTTGTGCGTGGGAACAGGTAAAAAACACACAACTTCATTCTACTATGAACAGCATACAGGAGAAATGTATACGACACATTAAGTCGTTCAAACAAGGCACACCTGGGGCAAAGAAACCGTTGACACCAGCTCGGTTTTCTCGCGGTCAATCGAACGAGGAAGAGTTCGATCAGTATCTGTCATTTGTATATGACAGCCACAAGGTTCCCGGAGATGTCTTCGAATCAGCTTCATCTCCATTTAGGAAGTCGACAAACGAGCATTTGACTAGTAGTACATTCAGAGAACGTACATCTGGTGTGAATGCAGGACAACCGAACATATCAAGAAAAGTTACTTTCAGCCCTTAGTAATGTAAATTATTCCGAAAGTCGATATGTTAATGCCTTTCACGCTGATTACGCATACTTGAAAACTTACAGCAGCCACTGAAGGCCCAAACCGCAAGGGGGTTGAGGTACGTCCCCCAAGAAATCTTCACTTTGATTAAGGAACTCCGTGTAGCAATTTCTTAGGTTTTTTATTGAAGATTTTTTGAATTGAAATCAATGAATATTGAACATTTAGTGACTATTGATATTAAGATATCAAACCTTATTATATCTCTCGGTAAGTCCGAGTGATCAATTTAGCTGGCCGTATTTCACTGTACATCCCGCTCAAAACAAAAGTTTGTTTGAATTGAAATCTTCCAACTCTATTTTAATCCAGAGATACAATAGATATGTTATTAACCTCACGGTCCGTACTAAAAGTTATGTAATCTCGTGTTTTCCGCTTGGACTTACGACCCGCGCGCCGTGCACAGCTTTAAGACCCACATGTCTGCAAGCCCCACACAAAGCCATGCTCACTCTGTACTCTCTGCTCGGCTCGCTACTGACCTCTTTTAAACTTTTGGGTGTATTTATGAGCAAACACCAGAACTAAGCCAACAAAAAACATTCAAATCCTCTGACTATTTATTAAATATACTTTTACCCTTTCCCTGCAGTAACAAAAATCTCATCAGGCTCTCCAATCTTTGCACGCAAAAGCCTCCCCTTGACAATGACAGCTACCTCTGAGTGAACCAAATTAAAATCTCCTACATTCTATTTCTCCTTCCGCTGTTGAAGGTGTGTAAAAAAAGTGTGAAATTATAACTATATCGCTATTTTGGTCAATTTCTAGGTTAAAAGCCGAAATTTGCACCAGACAACTTTGTGTCGGGATAAATTTGAGCCACGCAAGATGGCCGATTTACTGTCTAAAATTTAAAACTTACATAATTAGCTACTAACGATTTCAAATTTATTAAGTTCTAGCAAAGATGAGGGCACAATAAAATAGGCATATGCCCAGAATATATAGACACATCAACGAAAAGAGGAGGAGCAAGGGAGGAGGAGATTTTAAATTTCGTGCGAGCGAAAAAAAAATTTCTTAATTAGCTGTAGCAAAAACACATGCACACTCTTATCGTCAACCTCATTCCATACTGAAAAAAAACAGGACGAACATTAAAAGATGAGACATTAAAAAAAAACAAAGAAATGGAAAGGAAACCAAAAAAAACTTGCCGAAGCTCTGAGACAACAAAATAAAGCACTGCCTAAAAGAGAAAACTCCCAATACCCCGCCTGGAATTCAGGTTAAACCTTACCCAACTAAGATCAAAACCCAGTGCTTCTCCTGATAGTCATTATTGGAAAAGCATAGAAACACGTACTCAATATTTAGTTTTCTCATCCACCCACTCTTCTGGATTTTTTTCCAATAACCCTAAATGCTCCATAACTATCAGAATTTAGAGTGGGCACTGGTGCAGATGTCACAGTGGTTCCGCCGAGCCTGTATTGCAGCTTAGAACCAACTCCTGTACAACCTCAACAAGGCGACCAAGCTTATTATGGATCTATGTAAACAGAAACTAAGCTGCCTAAGGACTTTCATCGCGGAGCTGCAAGTGAAGGATACTATTGCTAGGGAACAAGTGTATGTTATAGAAAATTTAGAGTGACCTCTACCATGCAGGGAGCCAGCTGAACAACTCAAACTCACAAGCAGACTTGACAGCTTAAGCAGTGATGACTACAAGAGTAAAGCGGCAGACAAGCACCCTACGTTATTCCAGAGACTGGGTACCATGAAAGACAGTTACTATGTCAAACTCAAAGAAAGCACTAAGCCCTTTCAAGTTACAGTTCCAAGAAAAGTCCCTTACCATTGTATCAGAAGACAAAAGAAGAATTGGATAGAACGTTAGAATCAGGTGTCATATCCAAAGTTGATGAGCCCACAGATTGGTGTGCTCCCTTAGCGGTTACCCCAAAAAGCAATAGCAAAGTCAGGGTGTGCGTGGACCTCAGCAACCTGAATAAGTATGTCTAGAGAGAGAACTATCTACTTCCAGCAGTAGACACAACTCTGGGAAGATTGGTAGGTTTCAAAGTCTTCTCAAAATTTGATGCAAACTTAGAATTTTGGCAGATCAAGCTTGCATGGGAATCAAGACCACATTAATCAACCTATGGGGCCAATTCTCGTTCAATGTTCTACCCTTTGGTATTAGTTCTAGTTCTGAAAAATTCCAGAGGAACATGAATCAGATTCTCCAGGGATTAGAGGGCATAGAATGCAACATAGATAATGTTTTAGTTCACGGAAAAAATCAAGAGGAACATGACGAAAGAATAAGAGACGTACTTAAGTGTCTAGTTGAAGCCGGCATGACACTCAACCTTGACAAGTGTAAATTCAACAAAGACAAAGTTAAGTTCCTTGGGCACATCCAGCTCCCATGGAATTGAGGTGGATCCTAACAAGCTCCAAGCAATCGTAGAACTCCCACCACCTCAGAATGTGCGAGAAGTCAGCACATTTCTGGGCATAGTACACCAATTAAGCAAGTTATCTAAGTATCTTGCTGACAAGGCAAAGCGCATCAGGGAATCAGTGGACATGGGGAACTGAGCAACAGAAAGCATTTTAGTAGATCAAAGCTGACCTCACATGAGTTCCAGTACTGGCGCTACATGATCCTAACAAAGAGACCACGATAATAGCTGATGCCTCATCCTATGGCCTAGGGGCCTAGGTGGAGTAGTTCTTCAGCTCCAACCAGACAACTTCAGGCAATCAGTTTCCTCTATTTCGAGAGCGATGACCCCCACTGAGACCAGGTATGCGCAGATTGAAAAGGAGGCTTTAGCGCTCACATGGGCATTTGAACGATCATGGGAGTGCATCGTGGGAAATAAAATCTCTGTGGAAATAGACCATAAACCCCTCATACCACTACTGAATACGCACACACTGGATCAACTCCCACCGAGGATCCAGCGGCTCAGAATGTGACTGATGAGATTCCACTTTAAAGAGATCAAGCATGTTCCTGGAAAGAAGATATACATAGCTGATGCACTTTCAAGACTCCCAAGCCAGAAACAAAACAATACAGTCTACAATTGATGACGATGAAATGTACACACACATAGAAAGTGTGTTCTCCTCAGATACCAGACTATTGCAGATAAAAGAAGCACAGGAAGAGGATCCTGTCTCCAGACACATCAAAACCTATTTTCTTCAGGGATGGCCTGACAAACATTTGCTAAACGTTGCCATGAAACCATATTAGTCGAGCAGAGGTAAATGTTCTATCATGCAGGACATTCTACTCAAAGCATCCAGGATCCTTATCCCATCCTCCATGCATCTTGAGATATTAGATAAGATCCATAAGGGACATCAGGGAATCACCAAATGCTGCGAGCGGGTCAAAAGCTCTGTTGGGTGACAAGGACTTAGTAGAGAAATCCAGGATCTGGTTCAACAATGTAGGGTTTGCGCTTTGCATAAGAAAAACAAACCAGAACTGCTCAAAATAAGAGAAAATAAAGGTTTAGCATAAGAAGACTCTGTGTTAAGAGGTCTAATTTAGGCTGTGACCATGACCTATCAGACTTTTTCCCTACCGTGGGAATAAATAATGTGATCTCTGACTTTAAACAATGGTTTTATAACTCGCTGAGGCCTAGTAACAAGAATTAGTGTTACAAGGGGTACTAGGGTACTAGAAAGTCTCTCTTAGAAACAGGAACGTCCTTTCGAATAGGTGTTGCAGCCTCTGCTGAAACTTGTTTCTACTCCAGGCCTGCTGATCTGGTAGTGGGGTTAGGTGAACACGGTTTCTTCTGATTGTGCTTGTTGGTTTCTTAACTTTATATGACTGGGGTGTTGCTGCTGCTGTGATGACTTTGGCATATTTCCATTTCCCAAATTACAGCTTTCTAGAAATCTCTAATTTGGAAAATGGCAATATGCCAAGGATTTTCAAAATAGAAATCTGTAGTTTGCACAAAAAAAAGTTATTCTGAGACTCAAGAAAATAAAAGAGCTTGGGTCAGTTACATTTTCTGAGCAAAAATGATGTTTCATCTAGAACATGCTGTAACACTTTCCGTGTGCATTTCCAGTTAGGTAAGTGTTGTGTCACGCATTCAAATTATTCATCCACAATGTGCATTGATAACACCTTATAGAAAGTATAGTGTCAACTAACATTTCGAATTACTTTCGCTCTATATGGCCTTAACAATGCATTGAGTTATTCATGAACATATTGGAGATCTCGCAACGTTCACCATGCCAATTTTGCAAATCATTAGCATATTTCCATTTTGCAAATCACAGACTTCTAGAAACAAAAGAAACGAAATGAAAATCTGTAATTTGCAAAATGGAAATATGATAATTTGCAAAATAGAAATCATAGCATATTTCCATTTTGCAAATTACAGACTTTCATTTCGTTTCATTTCATTTCTTTTTGTTTGTTTCATTTTGCAAATGTGTAGACATTTTGTCTATATTTGTAGATAATTACTTCAGAAATTCCTATTTAAGCAGTATTCAGAAGTATAGACATGTCGGTAATATGCTTTTGCTTTATTTAATTGTAAGAGGTTTCTTTTATGTAACATATATCCTTTACTTTAATTTCCTCCTTAACTTGCCTGCAAATAATTAACTTTCTTGTTTTAAGTCAAGTGTGAGAAGATAAAACAGAAGTGTTACAGAGTTCTCTTTCCAGACTGAATTCAGGTGAGAACATCAGTATACTAGTTAATGTTATATACTTCCCCTGAATCTTCAATTTTGTTGCCTTGGTTTTTTTTCGCAAAGCCTCTTTTATATCTGTGTGCCAGCTACGAATTAAAATCTCAGTGGATAAGATATGCTATATTTTAGCAGATTTTTTAAATTCCATCTTTAAGTTTTTGGCATCTATTATTTTAAAATTCACAAATGGCATTCCCTTTTCATCCTTGTAAATAGATATTACACAAATGTGAATCATGAAGTCAAGTGGATTTCAATGACTTTGAAACTTCATTCTACACAAGATCATTTTACTGGAGTATCTTATATTATACGGATACTGATGAAATACCAGGATTTTCCTTTTAATAAAAAGTCGTATCCTCATTACGCGCAGTGAAGATACTATTTTTATCTTTCACATGTGAGGATATTGGTGCTGTCATGGTTACTAACATGATTGGCCAACTACAAGAGAGCTTCCTGCTCAGGCACGCTGCCGGTTCTTTTGAAATTTCATTCACAAAATGGCTTCAAGATGCAGAGACGGTACAGTTACCAGTGACTCTCAATGAGCTGTCAAACTTTCACATCAAACTTTTTCAAGCATGTAGAACGTTTAGGAAGATTTGCCGAGGTCTCAGAAAGTGATGTTGAAAAATTCATTGCAGGGGAAGAAAATGCAAACACTAAACAAAAGACCATTATGACTTAAAATTAGTAAAAAAAGTTTCTGGTGAAAGAGCACCATGAAATCAGAGAAATAGAGAAGATTCCTCCAACTGAATTAGACAGCTACTTGAGCCAGTTTGTTTTAGCTGCAAGGACCAAGACTAGCAAAGATTATGAACCGTCATCTCTCAGTGGAGTTCGGGCTAGTGTTGAACGCCATTTAAGTCAC